ATGCAGGTTTTAGTTCTCAAAAACGAGTGGAGGATGTTTCAAAGGGAAAGGAAGTATTTTTGCCCTTTGTTCAGTGCATTCCCTCTGTTATGTACTCCCCGCTGTCAATGTTTCCCTTCCATGTCTACGGGAGGAGGGGTGACTACTCTGGTACACTTCTCCTTCCTTCCTAAGGAGCAAATCAGATCCAGGGATGCTCCGACGCCTGGTGCAGGCATCCAACCCTCGCTCTTACAAGCAAAAGGTGAGTGTGCCCTCACCTTGGCTGCGTGACTTCGCCCCCTCTCTGGGAACTGCAACCTCTGCATGGTCTCCCCCCTCCCCCCCCCGCCCCCTGGCCAACCCCTCAACCTGGAAAAAACTTCCAACCGTTTGGAGTTTCAACTTTCTTGTAGTTTTAACAAAAATAGAATTTGAACCTCTCTGTTTCCTTTTCTCTTTGTTGCTTTTAGGTTTTTCTGAGTTCCCAGGAAACGTCCTTGTTGCTTTTAGGTGATTTCCGAGGAAACATTAACTTGAGGCCATCAGCTGAAAACTGGAAGTCAAGGACCATACAGCTGCTGCTGGTGTTTTGGATGTATTTTTTACATCACTCTTGAGCCTGACACAGTCCCTGACCTCTAAGGGTGTTCCATAAATGTTTGAAGAATGACTATCAAACAAATCGAGCAATCCTCCCATGACCTGGGTCTACATATGTAGGCAGACCATTGCTTTCTCGCCACCTGGGATGTCCCCGAATGCATGGACCATCTCTCCCCCATTAAGTCCGGAGCTTCCCCAAGCACGACAGAGCTGTTGAAAGTCTGAGAACATGAGGCTGTCTGAAGTCTGTCTTCCAGGAGTATGGGCTTTTGACCTGGACAAACTTGAGTTTGAAATTTAGCAACACTATTTACTGCAACTTCTTGTTGCATTTCGCATTAGTCAGGAGTCTCCAGAGAAACAGAACCCATAGGTTCTCTCTCCTTTAAGGAATGGGCTCTTGCAGTTCTGGGGGCTGGCAAGTCCAAAGCTTGCCAGATAGGCTAGCAGACCGGAAATTCTGGAGGAGTTTATGTTGCAGCCCTGAGTTTGAAGGCAGTCTGGGGGCTGAAATTCTTTTCCTCAGGGGATCTCAGTGTCTTCTTCTCTTAATGTCTTCAGCTGGCTGGATGAGGTCCAATCACATTATGCAGGGTAAGCAGCCTTACTCAAAATCTACTAATTTAAATGTTGATTGTATCTAAAAATACCTTCACAGCAACATCTAGACTGGTGTGTGACCAAAGGAGTGGCCACCACAATGTAGCTGACACATAAAATTAACCATCACAGGCCTGAGTCATTTATTCAGTTTCACTGATCCTCAGTTTTCTCATATGTAAAATAGGGTTATTATTATACCTTCCTCAGAGGACGGCTGTGAAAATCAAATTGGATAAATACGTAAACCACCTAGCAGAGCATCTGGCAGATTGTAGGCACTTAATAAATACAAGCTGCTCCTGTTTTGTCTAGAAGTCACGCCTGAGATGGTCTCCTGGAATCCAGTCCCCTGACTTTCATGGACCCCCATCCCCTATCTGCATTATAAGGGTTGGAAGGTTCTAGGCTGAGATAAGTTCAGGCAAGATTCAGAGGAGGAAGAAAGCAAGAATGGGCAGACGTGATCGCAGAACCAGAGGCCAAGTTCCAGTTCAAGTTTCATGAGTTCACACCATGGTGACAGCTGCAGTGCCAGCAGCAGCAACAGCGGCATCCTGACCTCTGGACTGCAGCTGTGGAGGTGTGACCTTGAACCATGAGCTTCGAGGTGACACCTGCCATCTATTCCTGCTGCCAGCACCTGATTGCTTAGGGTTTGAAATACCTAGCGTGGTTTCCATACCCTGGTACAGAAGACTTCGCTGAAGTGGCCTCATGCTTTCCTCTCTGCACCTACCCGCCAGGTCCAGGGAGGGGCCCTGGGTCCTCCTCAGCAGACCCTGCTGGAGAGAGACAGGGCCCTGTGATCGCAGCTGTCATGACGATGCAAGTAAAAAGCAGAGACAGCACCAGCAAAGGCCAGTCCAATGAGGACATTGTATTAACTGCACTGCTGCTCTTGCTTTGGTTTAAAATCTTAGTGTAGAACAGGCTCCACTAACTGGAATCTTCCATGGACGTGATGTTCTGCCCAGGGCCCAGTGTCTCTCTCTCAACAGCCAGAGGGCCTGCCCAGATTTTATTGCATTGCAGTTTTATAGCTATAAACACTTGGGTGCGTTTAAAGGGACAGCTCCTTTTAAAAGCCCCACATTTCTCAAACAAGGACACAAATCACAAACGTTTCATCATGGGGTAGCAAAAGAGGCCTCTTATCCTCCCTTGGCCCACACACTGCAGTCCAGTTGCAGGATGGTGATAAGAAAAAGTGATTTATAAACAAGCCATAACCCAGGTAGGCGAGAGCCACAGGCACAAGTTACCGGGGGGCTGGTGGCTGTTGACTTCATAATGAACCCAGAGTTGAGCCCCAGGCTGAAGGTTAAGAAAACAGGGAGAGACAAATGGGCCAGGAAACATGAAGACAGGATATGACTGCTGAGGGCAGGGAGGGAAACAGTTCCTTAGAATTTTAATAACAACAATAGCTTTTACCTTTATCAAGTGTCTACTGTGTACATTTCACATGGGGTCTTATTTAATCCTTACAACAACCCTATGAGATGGGATTATTAATCCCATTTTACTTATGAGAAAACCAAGGTGTTTTTTTTTTAATTTTAATTTTTTTTTGAAAATTGAGATTTAGAGAGATTAAGAGACTTCCTCCAGGGCCCTGGTGGAAGCATGATGCAAATCTAGAGCGTGTGAGTCCAGGGCCAGGCTTGTAAACATCATGCTCACTGTGGACTGTGAGGATGTTCAGAAGTGTTATGCCAAAGAAGGGGATCACAACCAGTTAGGAAAATAACACATTTTGAAAATTCTGAGTTCATCAAAGTGAAACAGGTTGGATATTTGCCGGTTTGTTTTTTTTTTTGCTGCAGGACTTCTCAGGGCCTTTAATAGACCATAGTACTTTGTGAGTTTTCAAAAAGGAGGACAATTATTGCAGTGCTTCTTGAGTATCTTTGAGCACAGAACACATTTCTCATAGAGCATCTTCAGGGCTCAGGGTCCCTCAAAAAGCATTTTGTGAAATCCCATCTTGTTGCATTCAGGCCAAGTTATAGCTCACAGGTGTGGCTTCACCTACGGGGGGTGGGTTGAGTGTGTGGCTGAGATAAGTTCACTACTGTCTGTTATCCTGCACTATGATTGTGGAGGAGAGCTTGGTTGTGTCTCCAAATTCTGGGCCTGGTGACTCCAGGCCAATCTCCAGGAATTCTGAAGCAGGTAAGAAGACTAGCAGCGGTGGGAAGAGAGGGAACAAGGAGACAGAGAGACTAACAGAGAGACAGAGCCATTGAAGGATGGCCAGGGAGGAAGAAGAAAGAGTCTTTTATTTTTACACAGGGTTTATGTAGTTGCAATTTCCTTAAAAAGTATTTTACATTCAATCTCAGGCAAAATACCCAACAACTGACATGGAGAGAAATGTGTGTCCAACAGTGGACAACATTTTAGTATAGACGAGAATAAATCCATATATACAGACTATGAATAGACCACAAACTGGGAGGAGAAGTCTGGACGAGAGTGGTTATCATTAGGCAAGTTATGCAAAGTGCTCATAATTTGTGTTTATTTATTTTTTTTCTTTTTTTTTTATTTTCCACAACAATTTGTGTTTATTTTGATTTTCTATCCTTCTGATAGAAACATCTGCTGTTTTTATACTGCTGCAGACAGGGCTGGCTGCAGCAGTATAATTTGTGGAGCCCAGTGCAAAATGAAAACGCAGGGCTCCTTTCCCAAACGACAGGACAAAGTGCCCTTGCATGTATAAAAACAGAAAGCTGGCTCACAGCTGTAATCCTAGCACTCTGGGAGACTGAGGCATGAGAATTGCTTGAGCTCAGGAGTTCGAGACCAGGCTGAGCAAGAGAAAAAGCAAGACCCCGATCTCTACTAAACACAGAAAAATTAGCTGGGCATGGTGGCACACGCCTTTCCGAGCTACTCTGGAGGCTGAGACAGGAGGATCGCTTGAGCCCAGAAGTTTGAGGTTGCAGTGAGCTATAAGGATGCCACTGCACTCTACCCAGGGGTGACAGAGCAAGACTCTGCCTCAAATAAATAAATAAATAAAAATAAAGTATGATGAAGTAAGTAAAGACTAAGTAAGTAAAGAAAAATTAAGGTTTTAAATCATCAGCATGAATTTTGCTGTTCTTTTTGCACAATGCCAGTTTTAAATGCAGATTGTTAAACCGAGAGCAGGGCCCTTCTGGGCGAAGGGCTCTGTGTGACTGCACAGGACGCATGCCCGTGAGGCCAGGCTTGGCTGCAGGCCAAGAAGAAACAGGACTTTTGTTTTACGGTTTTCAAGCGGCCAATTCTGCGGGCTTTGGACAGCACCATCAGGCGTCTGACATTTACGGTGTTTCTCCCGTGAGAAGTTAGGGTACGTTCTTGACTGCCAGAGTCCACCGCTGAAAGATCATCACGACCGGTTCATCAGAGAGAGAAAGAGAAGTCAGCAAGAAAAATGTTTCCCTTGCACGTCTTGAAGCTGTAAATGTCACTGCTCATTGTAAGGAAATGTTCCCAGGGCCAGCAGTGATAAACCAATCGGGCAGCCTCAGGCGAGGGCATTTCATAAACATACCTGAGACGCTCCTGGTGGCTTCAGGGCCAGACAGACTGCACCAGGCGAGAGGCTGGGAAATGGTTTCCTGGGGAGAGAAGGGAAACACCACCCTCCACCCAGGGAAGGGCAAGAGAACTGGGCCTCACCAACAGAGCCATTTCTTTCCAGAGCTGTGCTGTGACCAAGTGATGGCAGTTTGTCTGCCTTCTCCTCTGTCCCTGCTACCTGGGCTATGACACTGTGCAAGTATATCAAAGCCTTATGCCTTACATAGAATAACAGTCCCACCCACGGGTGCCTGCTTGTTTATGGAATCACCACTTACAATCCTCACAGCAACTTGATGAGGCTTATGTCATTATCCCCATTTTCCTGATGAATAAACTGAGACTTCAAAAGATGATGGGATTGGCAGAGGTCACCCAGCCAAGGTAGGTTTCTCTGAGCCTGGAGGCCGGGGCTGGCTGGCACTCTCAATATTTCCCTGGCTCTTGGTAGCACCCTGAGCCCCACTTTCCGAAGCCAGGTCCTGGCTCTGCCTCACGGCGTCGGCTTTGGATCTACTGGCTGGTCTCACAGGGGTAAAGGGTTTCACTAAATACCACATGTGCACGTTCACACACACACACACACACACACACACACACACACACACACTTGGTGTAAACAGACGTCTTTAGAGTCTGAGCACATCTCTTCGAATATGCTTCATGGTAGCAAATCTTTTCCTCCAAAAGTATACCTGATTTTTAGAAATTAATGAAAACCATTTGGCGCCTGATAGCTTGGTGGGCTGTGAATTTATTCCGTGGGTGAAGCGGTAAAATGGGGACGGCGATGAGGGCGGGGACGGAGCGAGGGGAGGAAGGCGTCTGTACGCGTGTACCTGCGCGCACATCTGGGTGTGTTTCACTGCCCACCCGAGCCGAGCCTCTTGCATGCATGACACAGCATGCCACACGGCGGGTATCGCTGTCCCCGGGTTCCAGGGGGACAAGCCAAGGACAAAAGAGACGACGTCACGATCCTCCACTAGTCAGTGGCAAAACTGGAACTGCAATCTAATTTGCCTTAAGGGAACGAGAGCTTTTCTTGGTCCAAAACTAAATAAATAAATAAACAGAGAGAAAGAAATTTGTGTCTATAAAGCAACGAGATGATTTTCTAATTTGGCTCCCAGAACGGGCTCTGCACATAATCCCAAAGCAATGAATCTGAGCCCGTGCTGAGAAGTGGCAGGACCGTGACGGGAGGAGTCAGGTTCCCGCGGAGGACACCGTGATGGGAACAAACCTGGCTTGGCTGCCGAGGGGTTATTTTTGTTTTTAACACTCCGGCTACAGCTCTTTCGAACCCTGGATCTCAGCAGGAGAATGAGCCCCGGGGTCGCTGGTGTTCAGCACCCTCATTCCCGGGAGGCACAACTAGCTCCCGTGATGGGGAGTGACTTGCTGGGGATCACACGGTGGCATGGCGTTGTGCCAGAACCTTGACCAAAACCCAGGAGCCTGACAGTGCCGTGCTGCTTCCCATAGTGCACCGCTTCCTCTCCTCGCCCCCCTCCCCCCTCACTGATACAGCAGCGTCCTCACAACAAGAGTAATCGTTTTTTAAAGAACTTTCTATGTGTCAGACACTTAAGGGGCATTATCTCATTAAGCTTTCCAGGCAACCTTATGGGTGAGGAATTACCGTTCCCATTTCATTGATAACAAAGCCAAGGCCCAGAGAAATTTAAAAAAACAGGGCCAAGTTTCAAAGTTAGGAAATAGAGGCCCCAGGATTAGAACCCAGGTCTGCCCACCTCCAGGTCCCCTGTGTTTAACAGTATCCAACGTTGCCTCCTCCTTCTCCCTCTTCCTCTCCCGTCCCATAGGAGCCTAGTATACAGATTCCCAGAAAAAGGCACATTCCACTCAAACCCACCCTGCCCCCAGCTAGTCACTTCCCCTCCTTTCGTGTTTATCAACACAAATAGCCTGTCCTCCTGGCACGCTTGTCATGCTGGAAGCCAACTTTATTCCCTGGGAACGCTGAGGAACAATGAGCTGTTAGCCGAGCCCACCGGGGGCCGCCCCCATCCTGGCCAGCTTCCTCGACTTCCCCTGCTCACACTGGCCCAGCAGAGGCTGTCTACAAAGTGCGTCAGTCACTTGTTTACTTGCTTTTCCTGCCTGGCCCCGGGGGTTCCGTTGGCTGTTTCTTCCCCCTGGAGGTTCTCCTGAGGTGAGCTTTGATCTGCAGAGGGAAGGGCAACAGGAGGCGATGAGAGATGCTAAGAGTTGGGCAGCATCTGACTCATTCCATGAAAGGAAGCAGAAAAGGTCCTCTCCTAACAATCCAGCGAGGATGCTGGCGAGAACTGTGCACCCTTGCCCGTGCCCGGGTGGGGGTCCTCCTTTTCCCCCCGGGACAGAATTGCAAAAGGAATACAAATTCCGCAAGCCAGAGGCAAACCTCCCGGCCCTTTCTACACTGAGCTAGCAGTATAATCATGGACTCTTACACCAATGTCTAATCTTTCCACAAAAGGCCAGGCCTGCAGACCCCTCCCTAGAGGGAGGTGTTTTCAGACGAGCAAGGCTGTGCGTGGAGACAGCCGGCTGCACAGTCTCACTTGAGAGTGGACCGAGAACTTCTCCGGAACACTTCCCGAAATACCGCCCCCTTAGAGAGCTACCTATTCGGGCTTCTAAAGACTTTCTGGTCCTCAAAATCCATAATAACATGAAAAAGTACCACTGGGCAGGGACACATAAATGTTCAAATAATGTAGCAGTCAGAGTCCTGGCAAAAGATGAAAGGGGGTGCACTCAAAAGGGCTTTAACTGGAGAGAATTTAATAAGGGACTATTTATAGGGGTGTGTGGGGTGAGGAGAACCAGCAAGTGACGGTGAGGCCAGGAGGCAGAGGGGAAGAAATACTGTTCACCCCTCTCTCTTCTTGCACTCCAATCTCCTGCCAGCGACTCCTATTGGCAACATCCAGCTAAAAGCCAAAGAACAGGGGAGCCTGGCGACTTAGTGCGCAGCTGTCAGAAGCTGGGCACAGAGCAAAGTGGGCAGGGCGGAGAATGGATCAGGATGGGCAAAGCCACCTGCCCTCTTGCTAACAGCCGAGCGGATGTCCTAAATGCTTTCTCTGCACCAGCCGCCTTTCATGGACTCCAGGTCATTGCAAAAGGATTCTCACCGCCATGAAACCATCTATGAATTGGTCTGAAAAGCCTCAGCATTCTGCTGCTGGTCGGGTGTTATAATGTTATTTCTGCTGTCTCCCAGTTAGGAAAAGGGAGGACCGTGGACAGTTCCCTCTGTCCAAGGCCCAGCCAGCCCACGTGAACATATGTTCTCATTACTTCACAAGATAGATTTGCTTTGGTGTCTTCTTGGTACATAGGCTTTTATTGTGAAGTGCATCTCATAGGTATAGAAGAGTATTTTAAACATACGTGGAGGTGAAACTATTTAACACCTATGTACTTACCACAAATATTAAGAAATTGAACACTAACCAGTTCCTTAGAAGTCCTCCAAATGCCCCTCTCTAAATAAAACCTCCAACCTCCTCCCCAGAGATAACCACTATCTTGACTTTTTGCACCCATCATTATCTTGATTTCCTTTATCATTTTACCACCTAGGTGAAATCACGTGTATGGAATGCAAGCGCACATCTAGCTGAGAGTGAGAGGGCAGTGTTGCCCTGGGGGATAAAGGTGCCCAGGAGAGAGAGAAGCTAAACTGAGTGTCTGGGTGATCTGGTTGCAGCTTCCCCCAGAGTTTCCAGTGGCCCCTTCTCAGGAAATAGGTGGGCAAGGTCATGAGCAGACCTTAGGAAACACAGGGCTCACCAGAGCTCAGCATGTGGCAAGGCTGCTGTGTGGGCTGGGCGCTGGGTGTTCAGAAGAAATATGTTCCAGAGCATGGGTCCATATGCTCTGAATCTCCTGCTTCACCGTGGCTACCATTAGCTTCTGCAGCGGATCTAAGAAGAGCACTTCGGTGGGTGAAATGAGCATCCCAAGCTGATCCGAAAGCAGGCCAGAGTGGGAAAAGTAGCAACCTCATCAGAAGTCATTAAGACAGGCCCCAAACTGGGCATCTCAGCCAGACTTACCCAGGAGCCCTGTCCTCACGCTTTAAAATATGAATCAATAGTAATGGGGATTTTGGTGACGATGGCTTTCAGCATATCTGTTTCTTAAGACACTCTGCTATACTCTTGGCTGGTTGCCCTCCACGCCTGGTAGAAGTCAGCACCATTCCTTGCACCCCTCTCTGGGGTTGGAGCTCATGTTTTCTGTATTCAATGTCTTTCGCTGTCTTGGCTTACTCTCTCTTTTATATGGAGCATACCCTCTAGTGATTTCCTGAGGAAGGGTGCGTGGGGAGAGATTTGTTGAGACTATGCAGGTCTAGAAATGTTTTTATTCTACAGCACCTGATGTATACTTAGGCCAGGTATAGTTGCAGGTTCATTTTTCCATCAGCATTTCAAAGGCATTTCTCCATTGTCTTCTTCCTTCAAGTATTACTGTTGAGAGATCTGAAGCCATCCTGATTCCAGATCCTTAACATTCTCTCTGGTGGCTCGTAGGATTTTTTTTCTTTGTCCCCACTGATCTGAAATTTGACAATGATGTACGTGCCTTGTGAGTTTTCCTCTTTCTTTCATTTATTATGCTGGCTACTTGGTGGGTCCTTTCAATCCATTCTGGGAAATTTCTTACATTATTTCTATGAGAATTTCCTCCCTTCCCCAATTTTCTCTGTTCTCTCTTTTTAGAATTACCATTATCCTAATGTTGAACCTTCATGACTGGTCATCTATTCTTTTTCACCTGTTTTCTCTTAGTTTATGTCTATGCATTTTTGTTCTTTGGTGAGGGGAGGTGGAAATGAGATGAGATTTCCTCAATAGTTCTTCCTTCTCATTTGCCATTTCCCTTTTTTCATTTTCAAGAGCCTTGTATTCTCCTTAAGTGTTCATTTTTTTATAGCACCCTGTTCTTGTTTCCTGGAAGATTTTCTTTTACTTCTTGACAAATATTAATTATAGAATCTACTGGGGAATTATAGAATTTTTAGAATTCTATAGAAATTTAGAATTTATAGAATAATTATAGAATTTCCTGCATAGTTTTTGTTTCTGCCCAATTTATTATTTTTTTTTCTTTTATCTCTTTCTCTCATGTTAGAGCCTTTCCTTAGCTGTAAAACTTGGCTGTATGCACATGATAATGAATGAGAAGCTAAAAAGAAACAAAACAGAAACAAAACAAAATAAAAAACAACTAATTGGAAGTTCTCAGCAAGTGTGTGGGGTCTGTCAACTTTGAGCTTCAAAGTAGGGTTATTTGGTTGGGCTGTTTATTGGTAGAATACCCAATATCTTTAGGAATTTATTCTTCAGATGGTCAGATTACCCAGGGAATGGTCTTCTATTATCCTTCTATGAGAGTAAGGGTCTGGGTGCTTATGTGCTGGGAGCCAAGGTGGAAATGACATAGGCATTATAACTCCGATTCAGCTCTAGTCCAGAGCACTGTTCCTAATCGAGGGCCCAAGAACGGGAAGTGAAAAGTGCATTGGCAATCTGTGTCTATGAGACCTGTTGACACCTTGCTTTCCACCAGGCTTGCCTTTGCTGTAGTAGAAAATTGAGCATTCAAACAATGAGATAGGAAATAACAAGCAAGAATTTGCTGAGTGTTTCCCTGATTAAGCAACACCTCCCATTCTTGGTAGGTGCACATGCTTGAGCTCATTTTGCAGTTGAGTAAACAACTTCCAGGGAGATTAAATTAACTGTCTCAAGGTTAGACAGCTATTAAGTGGCGAAGTTAAGATTTACATCCCAGTCTATTTGATTCCAAAGCTCTTTATTATTATTTTATTTTAAATAATATTTTATGCGAAATTCATGCTTATTATAGGTATCTCAGGAAATATATAAAGTTCCAAATAAAATTTTAAAAACAACTAAAAGGCCACCAAAACACTGTAATATTCTTTCAACAGGAATGCACCATAATTTATAAAAATAATTTATCATTTATTGGATTCTCCTCTCATTTGGGTAATTTAAATTGGTAAACCTATGCTCTTTCCACTACATGGTATCAGCCGAGGGCAGGAGGCATAGGCAGGAAGGGGCAGGGTGCTAGGCAGGTGCTCAGGTTAAGAGCTGCTGACTAAAGGGGGTTCAGATGGACACGGTTCAGTACCCTGGAGAGCTCCATGACAGTAACGTTGCCAAACGCACTAAGCAGAACACTGGCTGGGAGTTTTAGGATTCGGAACTGCTTCTCCAGAATGGAATATTAAAAGACACCATACACAGCTGGGATGTCTCTGAGAGATTCATCCTCACCACTCCCTTGGTTCAAAGAGCTTTGTGGGAGTGTGTCAGTATCCTCTCTCACCATTCTGCCTTTTCTTGTGCCGTCCCCTCAGCTTGGAATGCCTGGCTAATTTCTACTTACCATCTAATGTTCCATTTAATCGTTAATTTTCTCCAAAAAGCTATATGAGCTCCCTCCATCTTCACCATCAATGGTTTTCTTCCTTCCTTCCTCTGCACCTCTTTTGGTCATCATATGTGCCACATTAGATTATAATTATCTGTCCTTCTAATTAGAATGTGAATTCCTTGCAGCAGGGATTGAGTTTCAGTTATTTTTGGTTCCAGTAAGTACTCAATAAATAATATAAAACATTCAATAAATGAGCACATTTTCTGTAGGCAATGAGAAGCTATTGAAGGTGGTTTTCAACCAGGGGATATTTTGCTCCCTAAGAGACATTTGTCAATGTCTAGAAATAATTGTTTTGTTTTTGCAACTGGGGGGGGGGGCAGATGCTCCCAGCATATGGTGGGTAGAGACCATGGATACTTCTAAACATCTGACAATACACATGACAGCCCTTAGAAAAAAAGTATAGGCCCAAAATGTTATTCATGCCAAAGTTGGAAAACTCTGTTTTAGAATAATAGAATGAATTTAACCAAACTGTTCTTCAATCAATTTAAGTCTTTAGGGAACAGTGAGTCCAACAGGCTCATTTTACAGATGAGAAAACTGAGCTAGATTGGTTACAGGGTTGGGGCAAAAACTTGTACCATGGCACCCTTTCCACACAGTTACACTTGGCTGACATTATTTTTTAGCTATCCAATACTCTGAGTGGTGTAGGAATAGAATGATTTGCTGTTGTTTAGTTATTTATTTTTTTTTTTTGGAGACACAGTGGCACAATTGTAGCTCACTGCAGCCTCAAACTCATGAGCTCAAGCAATCCTTCAGTCTCAGCCTCCCAAGTATCTGAGTCTATAAGCCCATGCCACCATGCCTGAGTAATTTTTCTTATTTTTTGTAGAGATGGGGTCTCACCATGTTGCTCAGGCTAGTGTCAAACTCCTAGGCTCAAGGGATCCTCCCATCTTTGCCTCCCAAAGCCCTGGGATTACAGGCGTGAGCCACTGTGCCCAGCCAAGATGATTTTCTTAATGCACATTATCCTGGGTTCATCAATCCAGGTTTAGAAGACAAGGACGAGACTGAAGAAAAAATTTTGGAGTCCACAGAACAGGCATAGCCAGCTTCCCCCTATAGCATTCCCTCTTAGCTTCTCTTTTCTAGGGAGATTTGTTACAAACCTCAGGCTGAGTGAGAAAGAACTCTTTCAATGGCTCATTTCCAAACAATTCAATCTGCTCCAGGAAATGAGAGATTAGTTTGTGGAAGAGTGAGTTATTTTAAACCTCTCTGCATTAAAACCAATTAATGCTCTGGAGGGCCAAGCCTGCCACAGGAGAATTCACTCCAATTGCTACAGACCAGGGGATCCTGTATAACTCTCCTCCAATCAGCAAATAATAGCATTTGGGAGGATGAATTCAATCTCCAAGGGAAAACTTGAACCAAATGTGATAGCTATCTCCATCAAGTGCCTCAGATTTAGAATCGTTCTGATCCCAAAGAGCGCCGACCATACCTCTCATGAGTCACACCTGCCGTTTTCCCAGCAGTAATCATGTGCCCAGACCTCTCCCATTCAGCCCTGTTGAATTAGAAAAGCCAAATGATTCATCCAGGCACAATACAGAGTGAATCAGCAAAGGAAGAAAGTGTAGGAAAAGGGAATCTGTGTGCTATCTTGAATAAAAGTGCCTTCCAATAAATTTGTTGAATTGTCTTCCAGGGAATTGGCTGAACGTGTTAATCATTTATTGTATATCATAACTGTCTGGCGCATACATGATTAGCTGAAAATGATATTTGTGAGTCCACTGAGGCTCTGAAATGATGCAGAGAGGAAACTAGTTTCTGCAGAAGGAGCTCAACTTTCTCTGCTAAAGTTTGCCTTGGAGCGTCAAAGATTGTTCCTGTATGGGCTGCTGCTGGCATGAGAATGTAAAGGGGGTAGGAGAACAGAAGAGGAAAATAGGTAGCAGTCCCCAAAGAGGAAATGCTTTGTCTCTCTACCTCTATTCCTTGTTCTTTTCCTCTCATCCACACACACATACACATCACTGGGAGAAGTAGGCTAGTAACTCAGAATTATTACTCAAACAGATCCAGGTATGAAATCCAGTTCTCCTTCTTCTTGAGCTTCAAACTCTTTATCTATAAATTGGGACTAATAATGCTAATATCCCCAGATTGTCAAGGAGGTTTAGACAAGATCATGCATATAAAGTGCATGGCTCATGAAGGCATTAAATAAATCTTCTACTTTACCATATGGCTCAGTTGCTCCTGGGTAATTTTCTAAAGACAGAGGTCTCTGTCCAGGGGATGAGTGAGCTGGGAGTCATGGGAGACTGATGGTCACAGCTAAGAAGAAATATCTATCAGGGTATAGAGATGCACACATGGTTGGGGTTTGTGGTTAACCAAAGCTTTGAATTTCTCAGCTCTGTATTTATGCTTCCAGAATGTGGATTTGCTGCTAAGCAGACTTGGAGAAGGTTCAAAACTTTTTGGAATTTGCAATAACCTGGGGCTTAGAATTCAGAGAGAAGTTCAAATAAGAAATTACCCTGCCGTGGGTCCAAAGAGAAAAATGCTTCCACCATGAAAGAAAAAGGAGTGCAATTGGTGAATTTTCAGTTAGAGTAAATAAAGGGTGGTGATGGGTCTTCTAAGTGCAAAGGTGCCCACGCCCAGCTCCTCATCAGAGTCTCTGAGAGAATTTTACAAAGATATACAGGTTCCTAAGCTCCACACTGGAGAGTCAAAGGGCCACAGATGGGCCCAGGATCCTCTTTCCTTTTTAGTAAGGTGCCAAGGTGATTCTGATGATCATCCTGAAGGTGGGTGTCTCAGGGCCATGGGACCCTGCGTTAGAAGTGAATCATTGAGAACCAGCTTCTTTACTCCATTTCCCCTTGTAGAGATCTGACCCATGTCTCCCCAAAATTATGGAAGGAAGATTTAAGAGAGTCTTTGGAGACACTTGGAGCTGATTCCCACTTCAAAGGCTGTGATTTTGGAGTACGCGCTTAAGAGATGACATTATTGACAATGAAGGACACAGTCACCACCATCACATGTATATATGACATTCAAGTCCTGCACAGTTAGACACAACCTTCATGATCTCATCTCCCACCTCCCCTCACCAGGCACTGAAATGTCTCCCAATATATCTTGAACTCTTCAAATTTTCTTCGTATCCTCCTCCCCCATCTGCAATGAGCTCAGCTTCACTAACAGAGGCCATATGGCCTGCTGGTTAAGAGGTTGGCTTTGGAATTAAGGCAGGCTGGGATTCTGATGTGCTGAAAGCCCAGCTTGTACTGTGCTGGTCAAGATCCTAAGGATGGCAGAGCAACAAGATAGAGCAGGCCCAGTGGAACTCTTATGTGATGCCTAGAGGGGAAACAAACTTCCATCTTGTTCACTATTATTTGTGGTCTTTATTCAGAAATCTGAAATGATATCCTATCAACCAGGAAACCAACCATTGCCATGCAGGTGATAAGGGTTATGACAGAGGATACAGTTGGTGCTAGGAATGCATACCCAAGGGAACAAACCCCATCTTCCTAGAGAAAGAGATATACAAGCCAAGTATGTGGGACGAGTGACACTCAGCAGGTGAGGAAGTAAAGAAAGGAAAAAGTGTGGATGGGCACAGAGGAAGGAAACAACATGGGATGTTTGGGTAATTTTATTATATTTTAGTATTGCTAAAGGGAAGGGTGAGAGCTTGGGAGTGGGGTTTGTGTGGGAGGAGAGGTGTGGTAGTATGATGAATGCACCCATCAGAGAACCTCCCACCACGGAGCACACCCCCACAGAACCTCCCACTATGGAATCCCTTACCATGGAAGCCCCCACCATGGAATTCCTCACCCCAGAACTCTCCACCATGGAACCCCCACAATGGAACCCTTCACCATGGAACCTCCCACCATGGAACCTCTCACAACAGAGCCCCCACTATGGAAGCCCTCACCATGAAATTCCTCACCATGGAACCCCACCACCACCATGGAAGCTTCTACCATAGAACTGGCACAATGGAACCCTTCACCATGGAGCCCTCCCACCATGGAACCCCTCACACGGAAACTCCCACCATGGAATCCCCCACCATGGAAGCCATCACCATGGAGTCCCCCACCACAGAAGCCCCTGCCATAGAACCTACCACCATGAAACCCCTTGCCATGGGGCCACCCACCATGGAGTTACCAACCATGGAACCTGCCATGTCTTTAGCAGTTCTGGGTGAAGGAGGAGCCCAGAGCCAAAGATAAGTACTGTATGGTTTCCCCTTACTATTAGCTTCCTAATGGGGATCTCAGATTCACAGAGAGGCTCAGACCATTGTACCGAGCAGCTGGATTTCTTTTGAGACAGGCAGGAATCCCAGTGGCTCCTACAAACACTCCGTGGGAGGCTGGCTGATTCATAGGCTTCTCAATCCCACCTCAAAGTGACATCAATGACTGCATAAATTTAACCCAAGCCTATTAGGATATGGGAGAAAGAGGTTTGTTTTGATGTAAACAAGCCCTGCAGAGTGATGGGAGTCAGGAGAGAAGAGAACAGCAGAAGTCATCCTATCAGGTTTTTAGTATGGAAACAATGTCAATCATCTCCACATGCATTCCAATTCTTCTGGACTAGGAAGTTCCTCTTTTCCTCTGTTTCTTCCCAGGCCTTTGATCACCTACTGAGTTTGGACCATGCTAGTTTCATACTCTCTTAGCTGCCTGTGTGCTACTAGGCACCCCCCATCAGCTCACCTCATCTTGATATCCTAAAGAAACAGATGGACAAGTGCCTTCTTGCCCAACACAAAACAAAAAGTAGAAGCTATTCACTTACTTACTTTTACAGCTCAATGGGTTATCACAAAGTGATTACTCATGGAACCACCATTTAAGTCAAGAACTAGAACTTTGTAACTACCCACTCCTCAAATCACTAACTCCTCCCTCCCCACCTCTCTGAAGCCAAGTATTCTGGTTCCAAATTTCTGCTTTCTTTCCTACTCCATACTACTTGGTTGAGCTTTTGTCTTTACAGAAGAGGAAATAGAATAAAGAAAATGAGAGATTTTCCTGTGTTGCATAGATAGTGTCAAAGCTGGGACTTGAACCCATGTGTTCGAGGTCCTCTGTACCTTGGTTGACTTTCTCCTCTCAGTTTATGTGAATCCCATTCATCTTTCAAGGCCAATCAAATGCCATACTCCTCCATGGAGTCTTGTAGACCACCCTTGCCTCACTGCTTTCTTCTTTGCCTTATAAGCTCCTGCCCTGTCTGTTCCACTGATATCACACTTAACAGTAGTTTCTGGCATTATTTATCATTCCACATTCTTTTTTTTTGAGACAGAGTCTCACTCTGTTGCCCGGGCTAGAGTGCCGTGGCATCAGCCTAGCTCAGAGCAACCTCTAACTCCTGGGCTCAAGTGATCCTTCTGCCTCAGCCTCCCGAGTAGCTGAGACTACAGGCATGTGCCACCATGCCCAGCTAATTTTTTCTATATATTTTTAGTTGGCCAATTAATTTATTTCTATTTTTAGTAGAGATGGGGGTCTCACTCTTGTTCAGGCTGGTCTCAAACTCCTGACCTTGAGCAATCCGCCCGCCTCAGCCTCCCAGAGTGCTAGGATTACAGGCGTGAGCCACCGCGCCCGGCCCCATTTTACATTGTTTCATCTTTCCTGTGATTTGGTGAGGTGTTTTTTGTGTGTTTTTGAGCTGAGGGATCACAACTTACACCTGTTTGTCTTCCCAGAACATTGAAAGTAGTCTGCACATAGGAGGAGACAGAATGGTGGGTTCCTGGGCTCTGGAGTCTGACTCCCTGGGTTCAAATCCTGGCCTTGCTAGTGGCTTGCTGTGTGACACTGAACTATGAAATCTGCCCATATGCCTTTCTGAAGGGCTGTTGAGAAAATTAAAGCATATAATTTTCAAGTGGGTAGCACAGTGCCGGCATACAGTAATCCACAAAGGTCACCTATTAATAGAAGCTCAACAAGCATTTCTTGTTGATAGTGAATGACTAACTCAATTGGTCCTCAAGGTTAAAAAAAATTTTTTTTTAAAGGATGAACTCAGAGGTAGAAAATCTTTCCATAGGAAACAAGTCTAGGAAAAGTAACACATCTGGAAGGAGGCCGAGTGTCGGGTAGGAATCGCCTCACTTCCCCTGCATCATGTCCACCTTGCCCCAGACTGCGGTAATGGCTCCCCAGTGTGCAGAGCACTAAGTGACTCACAGCCAAGCAGGCGACGACAGAGCAGAGCCAGCAGCCAAGGCTGCCGGGCAGCCTTCGTTCCTGTTGCTAAGTCACGCAGAAGGGGTCAGCCTTGCCTCTGAGCCTCAGCAGCAGCTCATGCTGCTAGAATGAAAGATGGATCCATTTGGGGCCTGCAGCCCGGTGTTTAGGCAAGGCTCTGGAAGGTCAGTGGCTGGAGAGAAATGTGAGGGCGGCAGCGAGAGTTTCAAAGGAGGTGGCTGAGCAGCCAATTTTGTCAAGAGTCAGCAAATATACTGCTCTGGGAGCACATGCATATATTTTACTGAAATGG